TTCTGCTGTATTTTGTTTATAAAGCTATGAATTATTTCAATTGCTGATTCAGAGAATCCCAAATCATTCAATTTGTTCTTTAAATGTTCGTGGTTGATGGAATCGAAAGCTTTGGATAGATCTATTAAAGATACGGAAACATATTTGTTTTCATCCGTCGATTTGCGTAAGAACTCAGTGCAATAAAGGATGGCGTCCATCGTTGAATGTGAATTTCCAAAAACAAATGGGGTGTTGCTGAGCAGTTTATTAGATAATAAGTATTCACTGTTTTGTTTGTATAGTAGTTTCTCAAAAACTTTAGAGAGTGCACCTGTTATGGAGGTTGGTTAATAGTTCTCTGCTATTTCTGGGTCATCTTTTTTGCATATTGGGGTAACAATTGCTCTTTTGAGTCCAGTTGGAAATAAATTGTATTTAATAAATTCATTTTTAAGAAATTTTGGGTCTGTGGTTTATTTGCGTTTAAATTTGTAATTTTACATTCAATTTCTTTTACAAACCGGGAACAAAACTTTTGATTGCGTTCCTTTTTGGTCCTTGTGTTTTTGATGGTTAATTTAATTAAATTTTTCGTTTTTTTTCCCTTCAAAATTTGCCATTTTGAAGTTGTTGGTTATTGCTTCACCAAATGAATTTTTTTAGTAGTGTAATTTTGTTTGCTGATGTTCTCGAGTTTCTTGTGTCATTTGTTATGTTCCATTTCTGTCGCTTAGTTGTTTTAGGATTAAATAGTTTCGATATGAAATTATCGTTTTTCAGGTTGACTTTTGATTTGTCATTACAAATGTAGACTGTTTTAAGTGGTGCGAATCTTTTCAGGCAGCCTACTATATTGGAATTCAAAACGTTGAACATTTTTTCAGGGTTATTCTGTCTGTAAAAAGACACCCATTTAAGGTTTGTTAGGCAGTTTTAATTTCTTTTCTAATAATTCGATCTATCGTAGATAGTGCGCTTAAACGGCACAGTTTTATCAACTAACTTTAATTCAAATATCAAAATTGTAGCTAAGTGATCAGTTTTAATTGGTGGAGTGAAGTTTGACACTTTTTTCTTCAATTCGGTTGAGTTTAAACCTGTGGTCATATAGTCAATCAGTGTTTTTGAATGAGTTGGTCTTAATTTATTGACAAATTTGAAGTTATAGAGCGTTTAAATTGTATCCAAGGATTCTTTTTCTTCAGTATTTGAATAATTAAAGTTGTAGTCGCCCAAGAGAACAAAATTTGAATTATAGGATTGTGCGAAGTTAACTGAAAGAGCAAGTTTATCGACAAACTCTACTTTGTTAGATTTATTTGGATTAAAGGAAATATTTAATATTGTTGATCTTTCAGTTTTGTTCTTTGATGTTTTAAATTCTACCCAGATGCTGTCATACTTTTCATGAAATAAATTTAGATCTGTGCGTAGCGTGTAAGAATTTGGGAATGAGTATTATGACGCCACCTCCTTTTGTTTTTTCGCTTGCGACTGCTGATCTATCACATCGAAAGGAGGCAAAATGATCACTATCTAGTGTCCATAAATGTTGTAATTAGAGTCAATAAACCATGTCTCAGAGAACTCATAAATTGTGTTTAATCCACATGGTTTTACTAGTTTTTTTTAGTTTTGATATTTTTTTGCTTAAACTCCTGCATTTTAGATGTAGAATATTTAACTTGTTTTTTTTTTTCAATCGGTTAGTCGCTCCGATGTGTCATTAATTGTACAGTTGGACCTGGGGTTGATTTGATGTCGCCGCAGCATAAAAATGTATTTGACAATAAAATAATTAACACGAGAAGTATTTTTAACATTAGTAAAAGTAAAATTACTAATAAGAACGATAAAGGTAAAATGCGCTGGAAAGGCACTATAGTGATGTTATTAGTGCGCTTGAGAGGCACCCAGTTTGATCTAATGGATAAAAATGGCAACCCATGGAAAGTTATTACTTTTTGTGAATTTATTAAATTCTCGAAAAATCATCATTTCGTTGCAATCGATGAACATTAGCCTAAAGAAGCTAGCTAAGAGTTTATTTGTTATCATTTACGTTTTTGAAAATTCCAAAACAGAAAGACCAGACTCCTACCAATTTCTTCTTAACCAGCTTTAGCGATAGTAACTCTGCAAAGAATTCTATGAGGGGTTTGGAGGCATAGTAAGGTTATTGAAATTATTGCGTGACCGTTGATAAGGATGGATCCGTTTTACAGAATTGTTGTTTTTCTCCTGATTATTGAAGATGTGTACATTTTTTGGGCGGGTAGATTATTAGAATATTGGCATATAGAAGATCTGAGGCCTTTGCTTAAAAAAGGGACTCCACGCTCGTCATTTAAAAGAACATTGTCCCAATAGAAAAAGCCCCAGTCGTTGTTGCTTTTTATCATTGTATTAAATTTCAGCACACGATAACAGGTTTAGAGCTGTATGTACAATTCAAATTTTCCTTATCCAAGCCCACGTTTTTATTTGCCTCTACGTTATCCAAAATTGGTGGTATTTCGCATATTACCACATTTTGAGGCGTGAAGTGTTGCATGAATAATTCAATCAGTTCCTCAAACTTTATCGAGAAGTCATTCAAATTTTCAGATATCCTTTTTAAAATAGAGTTAGTGCCATCCTGCTTAATTACGCATTCAAGCTCCGAGTTTGGATATTTTAGTTACTACTTTCAGTTTTTCCTCTGTACTACTGCCCCTATATGAATCCATTAACTTATCGTTGGGCACAGTTTCTGTTCTGATTCTTGCTGTTATACTAAAAGCCAAAATTAAATTTTTAGTACTTTCGGAATTTTTGAAGGTGTCAAACTCACGTATAACTGTGGTCATGTTACTACTGTTTTGGTTGCTTGATTCCTGAATTTGTCCTGAAGTTCCAATTGCACTTCCCCCTGTTTGATTAATCATGTTGATAGTCTTTCTATAGTCCTCCTTCTGGTCGTACAGATCAGCATAAATTTTTAATAGAGCTTTTTTATTAAGTTTGTCAAACTCCTCAAATGTTAATTTATTACTAGACATAATTGTGGCTAGACTAGTTTTAGATAGTCAACTAAAAGAGCTTATCCACTATAAAGTGCAGACTTAGAGTGTAAGTAGTAATCAGAAATTCGTAATCAGAAGTTATCAGATTGAATGTAGATAAAATAATTTTTCGGAAATCAAAAATTTTTTGTTTCGGAAATATCGGTTAATTATGTGAATTAACTTTCAATTTGGTTTTTATTTTTTAATTAGCTATATGGAAGAATGTTTTAGTTCGCTTTATATCTTCAAAAATTCAATGTTCAAAATGCATGAAGAATTTTTTAAGATTTGAGTTGATTTAGTTGAGATTTAGGATTTATTGCTGAGTTTTGAAATGTTTACTGTTTTGAGAAAAAACTTGGCATAGTTTGGCTGAAATAATTTGGCAGAGAAAATAAGGCAAAAAAAGTTTGGCAGAGTTAGAAGGTAAGCAGTAATCAGAAGTTCGTAATCAGCAGTAATCAGAATGAGTGTAGACCAAATAAATTTTCGGAAATCAAGAAAATGTTTCTTTTAGAAACATTAGATCTTATTTTAATTTGCTTTTAATTTGGTTTTTCTTATTTATTTGGTAAATGGAAGAATATGTGAGTTCGCTTTTTGTCTTCAAAAATTTGATGTCCAAAATTGTTTTTTTGATTTTTCTAAGATTTGAGTTGAATTACTTGAGATTAAGGATTTACGAAGATATCAAGGTATTTAAAGCAACAAATCAAGAAGTAGCAGCAATCCCTGAAATCGCACCACTGGAGACACTCGAAAACCTGTTTCACCTTGCTCGAATGGCAGCAGAAAGAAAGTGCTTGAAAAGCATCACGAACGCTATCCAAATTGCTGCTCAAGGTACTCAGTCCTAGAAATCCAATTGAGCTATGTACGGGCTTAACTGACCTGACCTATGGATTTAGTGCTGAGTTTTGAAATGTTTCTTGTATCAAGATAACAAATTTGACAAGCTGGAATCTCTTAATTTTATAATATTCCATCAACGTTAAATCATGAAAAAATCAATAATAAAACCGTCTGCTTTCTAGCTTTGACCTCTTCAAAAAAACCGACTGTTATCGAGCTTTGACCTCTGTTCGATAAGCTTAACAATATTTTTTTCTGCTCCTTGATACGTGAGAAGGTCAAAATTTATCTTGACAAACGGATTTATCATCTTGAAAAATTATCATGGATTTTAATAAAATAAAAAAAAGTTAAGTAAAACGTGAATAAAAGTAGGGGAGTCAGATGGTTTGAAATCGGGTCAAACGCAGTTGCGAAAATCTTTGTAATTTACTTTTAATCAAAAATCTCTTCAATCTTATTGAGTTTTTTTCAAATCCGGTTTATTCTGTGCAGGTGTTAGTTTGCTCAATCTGGTTGACCTGATTCCAAACCATCTGACTCTCTCTACTTTCATAAGAAATTTGAAATGTTAATTCAAACGTTTTCGCACATTTTGTGCATCATCAGGATTAAAATTTTTTAACAATATTTACAAAACGATCAAAAATGAAAAACATGTCCAAAAATGCTCTAAAACTTTATAACCAATCAAATTTAAACAACTGTAATTACATAATCAATTAGGTAATCATGAATAACATTTTCCTGTAAATTTCTGAGATTTTTTATTCTTTCATGGTTATAAAATTCTTATTCAAATATAAAACTCTCTACTTTTATTCACGTTTTACTTAACTTTTCTCTAACTAATGAAATTCCATGATAATTTTTCAAAAAGATGATAAATCCGGTTATCATGATAATTTTTGACCTTCTCACTTATCAAAGAGCAGAAAAATATAATTTTAAGCTAATCGGTAAAGCAAGTCTTAAAATTGTCAATATTACCAGAGAAACAAAATTATGCATAGAGTTATTAATTTGATCGAGACTTTTTTTTAAAAAAAAAATTGGTGAAATTGCTTAATCAATGTATAATTTACTCATTTCCTGGATAATATTGACAATTCTAATTACTGTATTTTATCGATTAGCCCTTATAAATAAACTTTTGTCTATTTTTCTGCGCTTAGACCCTTTCGGCTGATAGGAACATTGTGATCTTTGACTGCCCACCCTTGTCATGCTATGTATGTGTTGTATCGGAAGTGGCGCGAGGCGTCTCTTTGAAAAGAATTATTAATTATTCATTCTTCTGTTAATGCTTTATAAACAACTTTTCCTTTGACGAATACTAAAACAGGTTTGTAATCGTTAGACATCAAAACCAAATTCGCTGTCCGCCCTTTTTGCAATAGTCCCAAACAATTCTCTTCAATCATATCAGCTACATTCTCCGTTACACATTTGACGGCTTCTGGTACTGTCAAGTTTGATGATGCTGCAAGAACCCTATCAGAAAATTGTGAAATTACTCATGAGATTTACAACCGTAGTTCTGATGTCTAGTAAGAAAATATATACATACTTCAAGCAGTGCGTGAGGGTTGCATTGCTCCCTGCCAGCGTATTTGTGCCTTGAATCACCACGCGATCATCCTTCACCTCAACATTTTGTCCATTCGAGCGATAAACTCCGGGCGGGTATCCTGCGGTGCTGGATGCGTCCGTAACCAAAATCAACCCATTTGCATTGGTTTTGTATGAGCTTCTAATAACAGGACTGCTAACATGCACACCATCCGTTATGAGACTGTAGTAAAGCTTCAGATCTGCATGAACATTTTCAGTTTGATCATTATGGCCGTTGATAATTTGTTGAAGATAAATTAGTTGAAAATTACCGGAGCTAATAGTTCCAATGACCCCTGGTTGCCGATGGTGTAGGGGTCTCATGCAACTATAAAGATGAGTTATTGAATTAGCTCCTTGATCTAGGGCTTCCATCGCTTCTTTGTAAGTGCAATCAGTATGGCCAATGCTTACTGTAACTCCCTTAGACCTCAATTGTTGAATGACATCATATGTCGATGAAATGGCTTCAGGTGCAACTGTGATTATTTTGACGTGCTTCATTGATCCGTACATATCTAAACATATATTTTGTTAAAAAAATTGTAAAGCGTCTGATGGATCGTTACCGAAGTTAAACTAGAAGCGATATGTTATACGATATTTTTTTGAATAGTACCAGTAAAGTTTTGGATAGACGTAGCTGTGCGGAGCAATTGTTTTCTGTGTGCACCCGAGAATTTCTCAGACAAGAAAGGTCCTTCATAATGGAATCCGACCACCCCGTCTATTCCTCCTACTGGAATGCTTTGCAAAAGATCATCGATGAGTTCATAGGTGTGCTGGTCACTCGTAATGATAGACGGACAGAATGATGTTACGCCGTATTGAAGCAAGTGCTCGCGTACTTTGGCTAATCTGTCCAAATAAGAATCGGGATCCGAAAGGTCGCTGAAGTCTATTCCTATTGATCCATTCACCTGAGTATCTATTAGACCTAAACGAAAATAATGTACTGATGCGGAATGAATAGTGAAATATATAATTACCGAATACGCAACAAACAAACACCGAATACAAATACAAAACAAACAACAAATGTGGGATGAACCATTGAGGATTGAAAAGAGAGGGGGAATGCACTAACAGCAAAGGAACAAAGGAGCACCAGAATTGGGAAGGCAAAAACGTAATAAACTGCACAAGACTAGATGGCCCGACTGACAATCATAGTGGCGTTTCCTCTCATGAGGCACACTGAGAGGCTCTGGAGAAGGCGAACTGGGGCAACACGAGCGTCACGTGAACCAGAACGTCTGGCATCAGCGAGGATAGCAACTGACTTGAGGGTTTTGATAGCTAAAGCGGACCAACCCCCGAGCGTTTCGACTGCTAACGGGAAAAAACTGATTCCTCACAGTTTTTCTCGTGTTTCGAAAATTTGCGGTCCTCAGCAACTTCCAGGGATGCCCCGGGGGTCTCCGCCGCACGAGAGAGAAGAGATAACTGCAGCGGGGATGTCACGGTGACGTCGAAAGCAGCTGGGCGACCAGCGCTCCAAGTAGGGACAAAAATATCGCCGGGTTTGGACCGTTCTCCAGGGATGAGGTTCCGTTGCTCCTTGATGGGGGCTAAAGAGGCAGCCGTGGTAGCATTGAAAATAATGTCCCGTAGTCTGTCGTGACGGGAGATCCGGCCACCACTCCCCCCACAAGTGACAGCGTGGTCCCCGAGGACGTCCAGAATGCCAGACGGACACGCGGGGCACCTACGAGCAGACGCGAACACAGGAAGACCAAGGCGGTATCTGACAGCAGCTTGGAACTCAGCAGGAAGCAGGTGCAGGCCAAGACCTTTAATGGGGACTGCGGTAAGCCAAGCGCCAGCGTAAGGCAGAGAGAGCGACTGAAGACGAGCTTGCTCGCGGGAATCGGGAAGAGACGAGAAGAAAGCGTTGTAGGTGGCCTTATCGAGTTTCTCTTGGAAAGCTTCTTGAGTAAAACCGGGAGTGTTAACGCTTCCAGACTGTTCACGGAAGTCGTTAGAGGCACACAGGAACTCCGGCGTATCAGTGATGTCGCATTCGGTAAGAAACGAGACCAAATGAGCTGACTGACACGAAGACCCTAGGAAGGCAGGGATGTGTTGGTCGCGAGCTTGCCGGACGCCAAGTCCGCCATCTTTGATAGGCAGGGAAGACTGGGACCAGGCAAGATCAGGAACAGGTGAGCCAACTATGACAGAAAGAGCATCGCGGAGGAGTTCATCAAAAACTTGCAGGGAAGCTGCGACAGGCTGAGAGGGCGGCTGAGTGCGAAGAGAGTACGTCAGCTTGGGAGCAGCAAGGCAAGTGCGAGTGATGCCAAGTGAGAGCTGGGGGTCATCAGGAAGAGGTAGCTTTGCAAGACATTTGGTGGCTTTCGAGATGCGTTTGTCCAGGACTTTAACTGAGAACTCAGTATCACCAATGGGGGCGCCAAGAAGCTCGAAGCCATTAGACGCTGCTCTCGGGATAGAAACGGGGATGGACGAGAACTCCACAGGGGCCCACAACTCACACTTACTGTGCTTGACTTTGAGGCCGAGATGCAAGCCGTTGGAAATGATGAATTCGAGAGCCTTGAGCAAGGAGTCTTCGTCGCCGGCACAAATACCATCATCAAGGTACCAGCAGTTGAGGGTGAGACCGGGGACTTCCGACTTGAGAGATTCGACAAGAGAGTGCAGGGTGACCGCAAAAATGAGAGGCCCTAGCGGATCCCCCTGATGAACTCCTTTCTCGCTGTTGAGAATGACATCCTCGAACAGCAGACGACTGTGGTGACCGTAGGTAAACTCAACAAAGGCGGAGAGACCGAGAAGACGGTTGCGAACTTGAAGGAGGATCTCGGTGCGGTCTAGCGTGTTGAAAGCGTTCTCAAAATCCACTGTTAAGACGCCTTGGTGACCATGTTCCGAACGAAAATAATGGCAACCATGTCTTCCTGCTCATGATGAATGGTACCAAATTTAGGTAATTTTAAGGCGTGGTGGTTTTGCTTCAGGAAGCAGTCATTTTTGATTTTCTTCCTGTTAGGTGACCAAAACGATACGTATCTTTTTTTTCGATAATATCATAAGATTTAACCTCTCTCAGATGTTATTCGCATGCCAAAAATTTACGATAGGCTCACTTAAGTGACAAGAAAAGTTCAGGTTGCAAAATTTTGGTTCATCAGACCATTTGAATCAATGTAAACGACTTAAGTTAGATGCTCATTTCAACTCATAAATCTACCCTTTTTTTTAAATAAATTATGATTTGGTTGAACCATTGTGAAATGGTAATATTTAACCACAATTGAATGACTATTTTGATGATAAAAAATGATGATTAAGCAGAGAACAATTTTCGAAATTTCCTCAAAAATGTTGTATTGCAGCTAAGTTAGCATTTATTTTGCATAGCAATTAAATGCTCTTTTTTTTTACCTCTGAAAAGTTATTTGCTTCTCAAAATATTCAGGCTTTGAAAAAAACCTGGAGTGAGGTAGAGTCCATTGCAGTCAATAGTTGTGGAAGGGGCCTGTTTGTCGACGTAGAAAGCGGTTTGCTTGTCAATTATTTCTTCCCCTCTTATCCACAAATCGTCTTCCACTTCCCTGCCATTAATACACAATTTGCAGTTTGTAAATTTTGTAATTGGTTCCGTACTAGAATCAGAAGTCATGTTGGCTCAGTTTCGCGTAAGTGAAGTTTCATTCGTCAGAAGATAGTTGATGGTTATGAAGCTAACTAACCACATGCCACTGATGTCAAAGTTTGTTTATTTTGTTGCTTATCGAGCTAATCAGGGAATAATGTAAATTTTTGCTCACTTTGACTTCTGTATAGCAGGTTACTCCCCAAACGAACAACTGATTTGATAAACGCTAGTCTGTGTCGAAAGATAAACATTTCGTCAATGGAAACGCAAAACATTTTGAGTCTTTTATCCAAAAGTTAGGCAGGAGGGTGCCAAAAGGATGATTCATCTCATATAGCTGAAACTAGCTGCTAAGGCGAAGTTTCACAAAGAAGACTAGTATTCTGTATTTCCAAAGAACTGCCATAGTACAAGTACTGCAGAAATGAATATCAAGAAAATACCATATTGCTTTGCTAGTTCATCTTCTTTGGGACTAGAGATGAGAGAAACTGTTCCATTTATTGTTGGCCAGGAGAAAAAATTTTTCCAGCCTATCGTTGTAATTTTCGGAGAATTTTAGCTCGCATTATGGCTCACAACTTGGGCTGTAAAATGTAATTTTCTCAGAGTTATAACAGAAAAACGTAAATGAAGAAAAATAAATTAAATTATCATGCAACATTAAGTGCGTCCAGTAAATTGTTTGTAGTTTATGCTTATAATGATAGGGTTTTTTCGTTTTTCTGACCACTGAAAGTGGGGAGGAACTTTTTCTTCGGGATTTTTTTTGTTCGGACCACTGAAAGTGGAGAATGACATTGTATTTGGATGTTTTAATTTTGTATTCTACTTTTGTTTTCAACGTAAAATCAGGTACCACATAAAAATAGTTAGAAGTTTCGATTGATGTATCTTAGTAAAGCCTTTGTATTCGTTATTCGAACTCTTAAAATTTTTCAAAAAAATTCCGAAGTGTAGAGAAAAACCGGTTTAAGATTTTGAATTTCTCGTTAAGCGAATAAATCGAAGGAGCAGGCTTACAACACGCATATAAGATGCAGAAATTTATCAACTATGGACAAGATCCTGATTGTTCTAAGCTGTTAACGTTAGAAGCGCTGAACATCGACTGCATGAAGCCTGATCTCAACACCCGGTAGGAGTGCCGCGAGCGCTACCTGACCATCAGGCTGTACTGTTTCTTTCGTTAGTGTGCGGGCGTCCTCAGGACGTTAGATTTATCTAGGTAATTTTAAGGCGTGGTGGTTTTGCTTCAGGAAGCAGTCATTTTTGATTTTCTTCCTGTTAGGTGACCAAAACGATACGTATCTTTTTTTTCGAGAATATCATAAGATTTAACCTCTCTCAGATGTTATTCGCATGCCAAAAATTTACGATAGGCTCACTTAAGTGACAAGAAAAGTTCAGGTTGCAAAATTTTGGTTCATCAGACCATTTGAATCAATGTAAACGACTTAAGTTAGATGCTCATTTCAACTCATAAATCTACCCTTTTTTTTTTATAAATTATGATTTGGTTGAACCATTGTGAAATGGTAATATTTAACCACAATTGAATGACTATTTTGATGATAAAAAATGATGATTAAGCAGAGAACAATTTTCGAAATTTCCTCAAAAAATGTTGTATTGCAGCTAAGTTAGCATTTATTTTGCATAGCAATTAAATGCTCTTTTTTTTACCTCTGAAAAGTTATTTGCTTCTCAAAATATTCAGGCTTTGAAAAAAACCTGGAGTGAGGTAGAGTCCATTGCAGTCAATAGTTGTGGAAGGGGCCTGTTTGTCGACGTAGAAAGCGGTTTGCTTGTCAATTATTTCTTCCCCTCTTATCCACAAATCGTCTTCCACTTCCCTGCCATTAATACACAATTTGCAGTTTGTAAATTTTGTAATTGGTTCCGTACTAGAATCAGAAGTCATGTTGGCTCAGTTTCGCGTAAGTGAAGTTTCATTCGTCAGAAGATAGTTGATGGTTATGAAGCTAACTAACCACCTGCCACTGATGTCAAAGTTTGTTTATTTTGTTGCTTATCGAGCTAATCAGGGAATAATGTAAATTTTTGCTCACTTTGACTTCTGTATTACAGGTTACTCCCCAAACGAACAACTGATTTGATAAACGCTAGTCTGTGTCGAAAGATAAACATTTCGTCAATAGAAACGCAAAACATTTTGAGTCTTTTATCCAAAAGTTAGGCAGGAGGGTGCCAAAAGGATGATTCATCTCATATAGCTGAAACTAGCTGCTAAGGCAAAGTTTCACAAAGAAGACTAGTATTCTGTATTTCCAAAGAACTGCCATAGTACAAGTACTGCAGAAATGAATATCAAGAAAATACCATATTGCTTTGCTAGTTCATCTTCTTTGGGACTAGAGATGAGAGAAACTGTTCCATTTATTGTTGGCCAGGAGAAAAAATTTTTCCAGCCTATCGTTGTAATTTTCGGAGAATTTTAGCTCGCATTATGGCTCACAACTTGGGCTGTAAAATGTAATTTTCTCAGAGTTATAACAGAAAAACGTAAATGAAGAAAAATAAATTAAATTATCATGCAACATTAAGTGCGTCCAGTAAATTGTTTGTAGTTTATGCTTATAATGATAGGGTTTTTTCGTTTTTCTGACCACTGAAAGTGGGGAGGAACTTTTTCTTCGGGATTTTTTTTGTTCGGACCACTGAAAGTGGGGAATGACATTGTATTTGGATGTTTTAATTTTGTATTCTACTTTTGTTTTCAACGTAAAATCAGGTACCACATAAAAATAGTTAGAAGTTTCGATTGATGTATCATAGTAAAGCCTTTGTATTCGTTATTCGAACTCTCTTAAAATTTTTCAAAAAAATTCCGAAGTGTAGAGAAAAACCGGTTTAAGATTTTGAATTTCTCGTTAAGCGAATAAATCGAAGGAGCGGGCTTACAACACGCATATAAGATGCAGAAATTTATCAACTATGGACAAGATCCTGATTGTTCTAAGCTGTTAACGTTAGAAGCGCTGAACATCGACTGCATGAAGCCTGATTTCAACACCCGGTAGGAGTGCCGCGAGCGCTACCTGACCATCAGGCTGTACTGTTTCTTTCGTTAGTGTGCGGGCGTCCTCAGGACGTTAGATTTATCTCAAACAATGCCTTTTCGCATTGCCTGTTTAAATTTTTTTGGTGTGTTGTTGCGTTTGCACATGTTTTCAGAGTATAACGCGGATGATGAGTTGTAACTCGAAAGTTTCAATAAACATTGATCTAGTGGAGTTTTTCCTGTAAAAACAGTTTTACTTCAGGAATATTAGTTTTTGAAGCATCGTTCAGCGCCTTCTAGAAAAGAAAAAATCCTTCAGAAAAAAATCAGCAAAAACAATTTTTATGTTTATGGATTTTTTTTTATTAGAACCGTTGTCACATATGCGTATTCGTTTCTTTCTATCGATTTTATTTATTTTTTTCTAGGCTTTGATCAGATCCGCTCATAGCCGAACGAACAAAAAACTTAACAATTTGCAGAAAAAAAATGGTTTTTTTTTGGTTGGAACCTTCGATGCTACTTGCATGCACAGCGACGAGCTAAATCAAAGTTTTCCACGACGTCCAGTTGGACATGGTTCCTGTCTTGCAAATGCTGAAACTGTCGCGCCTAACAACTCCATCATTATTGTCTTTTGTTTTTGGCACCCATAAATAGGGAATTTAAGTCTTTTAGTAGTAGTAGTAGTTCACAGGACTCACTCCTGGACTCCTTCGCCTATTTGTGCTCGTTGCAAACCTATTTCTCTTGGTTGCAAATATTCAGCATGTTTTGCGTTTTTTAGTATTTTATCTATCCGTTCTGTTCAAATTTTTCTTTTTTTTGGTTGTATTTTCTCCAACTCGATTTTTGACTTTATTTTCGGCTTAATAGGCTTCGTTCTACTTTATATTGGCTTAGTGGCTTCATATTGGGACGTCTGATGAGCGCAATTTTTTGTGTGTGCGTGTGTGTTTTGAGGTAGAGGGGAACTTGAATTTTTTTTGGCCTTGAAGGGTATATGCTCAGATGTTTTCGGCTTTGTTACTACTGGATAAAAAATTTTGCGATACTTATTTTGCATTTCATTGTGTTTTTTTTCAACATTCATTTTCCAGTTGCATGTATACTTATAGATCCACTTGGACTTATATTTATAGAAATGTGATTTTTTTCTCTGGCTGACGGTTTTGCAGCTTTGTTGTTGTCGATTAAGCAATCGTTTTAGTTTTCAAAATGTGTATACAACCTTCCCTTCAGTTCATATATTTGGCTCTCGTGGATACTATATATGCAGTACCAATAATTTAATGAATTTCGTTTTGCCGATATTTTTTGGTTGATTTTGAACTTATTGGCTGCCGGCTTTAATTCCCTGCGGCTTATTTACCAAATATATTTTGTTTTTTTAAATATTTTTACGATATTATTTATCAAATCGATAACACCCTGGCTTGAAGTTTTCGAATGCTCATGTTCAACGCCATTGAGACCCTTTGAAAATACTTCAATAAAATTTTTTTAAAAAAGTAACTTTTGATGTTCCGTTTTGTTTTTTGAATTGTTTTCAATGGTTACATCGTTCGAAATCCTCTTTGCTAGTTCTTGTGCGTCATGTGTTTAAACCCTGTACGTTTTGTATCACAAGTGGTGCGAAGCTCAGCTTCGTCTGTGTAATATGTGTTTTATGATGAAAAATTGTCAAATGTACCTAATTTAATATTACTATCGACGTTTAGACTTTTTTCAGATCCTCATTACGTTCAGACCCATAGTACAAACAAAAAAACGCTTTTTACAAAAAAAAAATTGTTTTTCAAAAAGAAATTGTTTTTCAAAAACTTGCACAGGAACTGGCTATCCTTGTTTACTTTTTTTCGTAATCAAAATCAGGTGCCACAAAATATTAGCGCTTTTAGAAAATTTTTAATATTGGTCGGCCGAAAATAGATGTCATAAAACAATACAAAGGGGACCTTTTGGCTAGCGAGGGGTTGGAATCCTTGATGGTGACAAGTTTCTCCCCTGCTCCTGTAGTTTTTTTAGCGCCTACTTAGGAATAAGAAATTTTTTCAAAACAATTCTGCAAAAAAAGATTGTTCTTTATTTTTGCCTTTTCCAGTCATATTTAGAAGAAAACTTTTTATTATGCCTACATAAGTGTTGTGCCTGCATTATGCTTACGCTACAGTTCTAGGCTTTCCTTCAGATCCTTTCTGCACGCCACGCACAAAAAAAAACTCTAAATTTGAAAAAAAAATTGTAGTTTTTTATGAACATTTGCGGAACAGTCGGTGTAACTTGTATACAACAACCGGCTATCCTCGTTAAAATTGTATTTGTGACATGAGCTTTGATAGTTAATATTCTGATTTCAGACGTGCAATGTCGGGACATTTAGAGGCGGCGGTTGAGGCTAGTTTGCTGCAGGCGGCCCAAGTGGCGGAACAGAAGATTGACGATGAGATCAAAAGACTGGAGGAGATGGACGACGAGGGCCTGGAGCAGATCAGACAGAAGAGACTGGCCGGCATGAAAAAGGAACAGGACGCCAAGTTTCACTTCATGCGCATGGGTACGGCAAGTCAATTGTACACTCCCATGTTTTTAAAGAGCTGTTGAAGTTTAAATTATTAAAATGTAGTTAAAAATGTAGTTAAGTTATTAAAAAATCAGCCCTTGAGTTCCAAATATAAATTTATTCAATTTAAAGACCAATTAATTTGGTTGTTTTAAAGGTTCATGGTTCATAGAAAAACGAGCCTTGTGATGTTTACATGCTTGTGTTGTTTACAAAAACTTAAATTTTGGAACGGAGCTAATAAAAATGATCACGCATTCGAGGAGTATGATTGTCGGTAGTGGTGCAACCTAATAGTCGAACGTTCGTTCGTAGAAAAACCGTCGAAAGCTGCCGTGAGTGTTCTGTCCTGTTTGACCCGTGTTTCTAGGTTTTTTAAACTATTTAGCGTAATAGGCTCGTCCAGCGAGCGACGAAACAACAAAGCTAGTTACAATTTGAAGCTGATTTGATCTGTCTGAGCGTGTTTTCAGCATAGCTGGAAACCTTGTAAATAAGCAAAGAGCAGCACTGAAGATCACGTGAGCTTGCAAATTTTCCTTCATAAAAATTGAAAAGTTTTCATGGACATTTTGATCTTTTATTCTCAGCCATACAGAAAATCACTGAAATACCGAACGTTCTGATTGGAAGACAACTTCTGAGTGGAAGTCAACTTCACTATGCGTTGCAATCTCCCGGTTGTTAAAACTCTAAATGATTGTAAATGGAATTTATGATCTCTGTACTCTCTGCGTCCTAAAGTTATTTCAAGTGCATCCTGTTCCAAGTTTTGGCTTTTTGCTAGCTTGTTGCAGAAGTGCCAACAGTTTCGTCCAAACTTATACGCAAAGCAGCCAGTTCTTCTCAAATCTGCAGTGTACTCGAATGAAACATGCCATAAATGTGTACCTAAAACATATTGGCGTCAATTATCTTGGGGCCAAAAGAAATTTGCATTTTCCGATCCCCAAATGTAGAAGCAGTTGGAGGTCACTAGTTGATTTAGTGAAGTGATCACGCTGACCTTGTAGCTTGCTTAGGTCATGGGACGTACAGGGAGCACACGGAGCACGAATTTCTGAAGGGGGAGGGGAGTAAAAGCGACAACGTTGTGATCCACTTTTACAGACCCACCACTGAGAGATGTCAAATAGTGGACCGCTATTTGCACCAGTTGGCCCCCAAGTACTACGCGACTAGATTTTGTAGAATAGACGCGGAGAAGGCCAAGTTCCTCTGTGACAGACTAAAGATCACAGTCATTCCTTCCATCGCATGCTTCGTTAAGAAGCTGCATAAGGTATACATGGACAAACGACGCTTTTTTATGCATTTGAAAATATAGCAGCGAATGATTTCGTAAAAAGATTGGATTTGTAAAGGCCAGTTGGTTCAAGTTTCATTGTCCTCTAGTGCTTGCTGAAGCCTGAAAGACGATGGCGGTTTATTGTTCCGACTTTTGATACGAAAGTAACGGAATATTTGTGCTCGGGGTGGTTTTTTTTCTTCAGACAAATTTCGACTTTTTAACTAGCCATTTTTGACGGATTTTTTTTATCATGTAAAAGGTATTGTTGTCCTGAGCTTAAATTTGAAAAGATATTTCACCTGTGATCATTTTTCGTAAACTTATGAGGGTTTGAAGGTTGCCATTTTGGCCAATTTGGGACAATTAACGCGCGATATAATTCGCGCTATTAACGCGTAAGCGGAGATTTAATCCGTCTTATAAATCGTTTCAAATTGGTTGAACGAAGCTTATTTGCCATAATTGATTTGTTACAAGGAACGAAATCTATCTTTTTATACTTTATATGGCGTGTGGGGGGATGGTTTTCATAAAAAATTTCAAATTTTAGAAAAAAAAAATTTCATTTTATTTTATATTATTTAATTTTTTTGTTATTACTGCTCCATAAACCTTACAAGGCAGTCGGAACATTCAGGGCTTCGCCCCGATACGAGCAGTCTTGTTTGTATTTCTGATAATTTAAGTTCAATCTGATTCACAGTTCGGCCTATTGTACTCTAACAATTATGTTCGTATAAAAGACTAAATTAAGGAGTAAACAATCTAATATTAAAAATAGAATCTGTTTTATGCTCTCGTTATAATAGAAACTGCAGTACAAATCTTATTTTGTTTTGCAAGTTCCTAATTTTTTGGTTAAATTGAAAACAAAACACTGTTTTCTAACTGTGTTTATAAAGTTTCAAATGTTGTTCCACGTAAATTAATACATACATTCAAGTGTTTTTGTTCCGACTTTCAATACGAAAGTAAGGGAATATTTGTGCTCGGGGTGGGTTTTTTTTTCTTCGACCAATTTCGACTTTTTAACTAGCCATTTTTGACGGAATTTTTTTATATCATTTAAAAAGTATTGTTGTCCTGAGCTTAAATTTGAAAAGATATTTCACCTATGATAGTTTTTCGTACAGTTATGGGGGTTTAAAGATTGCCATTTTGGCCAATTTGGGACAATTAACGCGCGATATATTTCGCGCTATTAACGCCTAAGCGGAGAGTTAATCCGTCTTAGAAATCGTTCCAAATTGGTTAAAAGAAGCTTTTTTGCCGTAATTGATTTGTTACAAGGAGCGAAATCAATCCTTTTGTACTTTATATGGTGTATAGGGGGGTGATTTTCATAAAAATTTCAAATTAAAGGAAAAAGTTTTTTTTTTTTCATTTTATTTTATTGCATTTAATTTCTTTATGTTACTACTGCTCCATAAACTTAAAAAGGCAGTCAGAACATTCAAGGCTTCGCCCTGATACGAGCAGTCTTGTTGTTCCGACTTTCGATACGAAAGTAACGGAATATTTGTGCTCGGTGTGGGTTTTTTTTTCTTCAGACAAATTTCGACTTTTTAACTAGCCATTTTTGACGGAATTTTTTTATATCATTCAAAAGGTATTGTTGTCCTGAGCTTAAATTTGAAAAGATATTTCACCTGTCATCATTTTTCGTAAAGTTAAGGGGGATTCAAAATTGGCATTCTGGCCAATTTGGAACAATTAACGCTCGATATATTTCGAGCTATTAACGCGTAAGCGGAGAGTTAATCCGTCTTAGAAATTGTTCCAAATTGGTTGAAGGAAGCTTAATTGCCATAATTAATTTGTTACTAGAAGCGAATGTTATCACTTTGTACTTATATGGCGTGTGAGGGGATGATTTTCACAAAAAATCTCAAATTATTTTACAAATTTTTTTTCATTCTTTCCTTTTTTACAATGACTTTTTTCATGTTATTACTGCTTCATAGACCTTAAAAGGCAGTCGGAACATTCAGGGCTTCGCCCTGATGCGAGCAGTCTTGTTTTTGTTTACTTGCGATCAATGACTCTTTTCCAACTGTCTGTTGGCTATGTTTTTATGTGGTTTTTTTACGTGAACGCTGTGTGAATTGTAGTATTTTCGGGCAGGATACAATAGTCGGGTTCGATGACCTCGGAGGGAGAGATGACTTCCCGATTGAGGTGCTCGAATGGCGACTGGGATTGAGCAAAGTGATAAATTACACGGGCGACTGCCAAGGACCCATCCAGAAGTCAGGCTACTCTGGAATATTCATGCCAGTCAAGAAGGGAGGCATCAGAGGCGGCGGAGGAGACTCCGATGACGATGATGACTAAGCCTTTTTTTACAAGTGACCTCAAAATGAATGGCGAAGCCAAGTCGGGCATGTTGATGTTGTTGCCTTCATTTTCCTATTTTGGCTATTTTCTTCCTTTCTCACCTCATAAGTGAAACAAGTATTCGTTTGATAGTATTGTTCATTGTAACCTCTTACAGTTAGTTTGATTACCTCAAAACCAAAGGAAATTGATTTTGATAAAATCAATGGTTCAATCATGATTTGTAGTTGGGAAAGGAAAAAGTGAGCACATTTTTTCGAGCTGAATCTGTAGATGGTATATTGTACATAGAAATTCATTATCTCATTTGTCCTGTTCTGTGGAAACCTCGTTTTTATATTTGTACGCCTTATACAATGACTGTAAGGTTCTAAAGTCGAAAAAATGTAATATAGTTTTGCTTGCCCCTATCACGGTTTTTAAAACTAGATTTAGGTTTCATTCTAGTTTTCCTTATAAAGTATGTTCTTAATTTATACCACCCGGGATTCGAACTGCCGTAGAAAGTCGGGAAAATTTCTCTGTCTCATGAAGCATTTTGATATATCGATTTGTCTGTTTAATTCAGAGCGAAGAGTGAAGATAGGATGAATATAAGCTGGGTTATTTTATGTAACGTAAATGCACGTTATCGTGTAGTAATTATCAAGGTTATTGCAGCGACAAGCGGTTGATTAATAAGAAGTGAATTAATGAGATTTGAGTGATAGTTCAAGTAGCAATTCAGATCAAATATATATGGTAAATCACCCGCTTAAAGTTGCTCGAACCAATGACTATAGGTCATGTTTCACCAGCTAATTTTAACAAAAATCGGGAAGTGATCTTTCAGTTTGAACCGAATAAGAAAGATCAATTCCAGTTCAGCTAGGAAAAATCACCAATACCCCTCCTTTCAAGTTAGGTGGTTCCTAGTAGACTTTCTCGAAAAAATGCAGTTTTGCATCTTCCCAAGTTTTTCGTCAATGCGTCTGCAGGCATGTTTGCTGTTGGTGAAAAAATTAATGTATTTTTCTTCTGTTCAACTAACTCTCGAAGGAAGTGTAGTTTTATGGCAAAATGCTTTGCCTTTCCGTGGTTCATTGAGTGTTTACTAAGGGCACTACAAGCTTGATTATCAACGAAAACTTCTAAAGGCCTATTACAAATTATTTCTAAGTCGCTAAGTACGCCCTGTAAATGAATTCCTTCCTTTACTGTTTCGACCACAGCATTGTGTTCTGCTTCGGCTGTTGAAGTTGATACACAACGCTGAAGTCTGCTGGACCAACTTATTACACCTGAGTTGTCACTGAGTTTAAAACAATATCCTTAGGTATTTCTCCTATTGTCTATATTTCCAGCCCACTCCGCATCCGAATAGCTAACAAGATTGACGGCCTTATCCCTCCTATATACTAAAGGTAAACTTTTTGTTCCTAGCAGATATCTAAGACAATTTTTCCGGCTTTCCAGTGCTTTTCACCTGGGTTTTCCACAAAAGAACTTAGAAGTTTTGCTGCAAAGCAATGTCGGGTCTACTTGGTAAAGCTAGGTAATTTAGACAACCAACAAGTCGTCGATAGTCACGTTTTTTCATATTTTCTTGTTCTATGCTCCCTTCCAAAGGACAATCTTCTTTTGTCAGTTTTTCATTTTCACCAAGAGGGGTTGTTATCGGCTTTGCTTCGGTCATCTTTTGCGGAATTTATCCTTCCGCAAAAATTGAATATAAATCAGCAACTTTTACAAATAAAACATGTAATTTATCAGTTTGTTTCAGTTTTCTTTCACTATCCTTAGTGTAGTGCTTCTTCCACTGCTGTGCTCACTCAGTGCCCCTTGGTGTAGCTTTTGACCGTCTTCTCTTCTCTGTTGTGTTTCCCTGCTTCTATCGTCAGAGGTGTCTATCTCTAGAAGTTGTGTTGCCCTGCTTCTGTCGTCAAAGTTGCCTGTCTCTACTAGTTGTTGCCCTTCTTCTGCACTTCTCTGTCTGATCAATCGTCTATCTCCAAGTAGTTTTGGCCGGCTTCTATTCTCGCAGTTCTCTAACTGATCAGTTGTATATTTCAAGTTGTTTTTCACTGTCACAACTCCACTGCATATCTCAGCTTTTTTCCGTATTCGTTTGAACAAACTGTCAATCTCGACTCCTGACTTCACACTCGTGATTGGGCATCTGGGCCCATAACCTATCAAGGTTATTGCAGCGACAAACGGTTGATTAATAAGAAGTGAATTAATGAGACTTGAGTGATAGTTCAAGAAGCAATTCAGATCAAATATATATGGTAAATCACCCGCACAAAGTTGCTCGAACCAATGACTTAAGGTCATATTTCACCAGCTAATTTTAACAAAAATCGGGAAGTGATCTTTCAGTTTGAACCGAATAAGGAAGATCAATTCCAGTTCAGCTAGGAAAAATCACCAATACCCCGCCTTTCAAATTAGGTGGTTCCTAGTAGACTGTCTCGAAAAATGCAGTTTTGCATCTTCCCAAGTTTTTCGTCAAAGCGTCTGCAGGCATGTTTGCTGTTGGTAAAGAAATTAATGTATTTTTCTTCTGTTCAACTAACTCTCGAAGGAAGTGTAGTTTTATGGCAAAATGCTTTGCCTTTCCGTGGTTCATTGAGTGTTTACTAAGGGCAATACAAGCTTGATTCTCAACGAAAACTTCTAAACGCCAATTACAAATTATTCGTAAGTCGCTAAGTACGCCCTGTAAATGAATTCCTTCCTTTACTGTTTCGACCACAGCATTGTGTTCTGCTTCGGCTGTTGAAGTTGATACACAACGCTGAAGTCTGCTGGACCAACTTATTACACCTGAGTTGTCACTGAGTTTAAAACAATATCCTGAGGTACTTCTCCTATTGTCTATATTTCCAGCCCACTCCGCATCCGAATAGCTAACAAGATTGACGGCCTTATCCCTCCTATATACTAAAGGTAAACTTTTTGTTCCTAGCAGATATCTAAGACAATTTTTTCCGGCTTTCCAGTGCTTTTCACCTGGGTTTTCCACAAAAGAACTTAGAAGATTTGCTGCAAAGCAAATGTCGGGTCTACTTGGTAAAGCTAGGTAATTTAGACAACCAACAAGTCGTCGATAGTATTATTTTTTCATATTTTCTTGTTCTATGCTACCTTCCAAAGGACAATCTTCTTTTGTCAGTTTTTCGTTTTCACCAAGAGGGGTTGTTATCGGCTTTGCTTCGGTCATCTTAAATATTTATCAATTTTTCAACATATTTCTCCTGGCTTATCCTAATTTCGTTTCCTGAGTAATCAGTTTTCATTCCTAAGAACCATTTAAGATCACTTATCTCGCTTATCTCAAATTTTTCAGAGATGTTTTCAAACCAGCTACAGAAATTTTTGTCTGCTCCACAAACCACTATATCATCGACCCACAAGCAAATTAAACCTTCTATCTCTCCCTCAATCCTCCTAACAAACAAGCACTCATCAAAAACTGAATTTTCAAAGCCTAATTCCTCAAGATAGTTTTTTAGAGTCCTATGCCAGTTTTTACCGGACTGCTTCAGTCCATAAAGACTTTTCTTCAAGACAAACTAAAGGTTTTCCTTCCTCATTAAACTTCTCGGACCCTTCAGGTTGCTTCATAAGAATATCTTCATCTAGTTTGGCATTCAAGTATGCAGTTTTAATGTCTAACTGTCTCAACTGATACCTATTTTGAACTGCTAAGCTCAGGACTATTCTTATGGTCGACATCTTGGCTGTAGGCGAATACGTTTCGTGAAAATCCCTTCCCTCAACTTGGCTAAAACCTTTTGCAGCATACTTAGCCATAAACCTGGAAATTTCACCATTAGGGGTCCGTACATCAAAGCAAAATGCCATCTGCTGCCTATGGGCTTCTCTCCTCTATTTCTAACTAGGTCCCAAACTTTGTTTTTCTTTAATGAATCAAACTCATTTTTCATTGCTTCTTGCCAGTCAGGGTCTGTTAAAGCTTCTTTAGCGTTTTTCGGTATATTTTCGACAACTTCTCCAAAAAATACTACATCACCTACTCTTTCTCCTTCGTCACTTTCTATCTTTTTCTCGAAGTAGAACTTAGATTCGTCAAAACTAACGTTTCTAGACTTTTGCACTTTGAGTTTTCCTTCACTCTCAATTCCTATCAGAAATGCTTTAATATTTTCCGATGTCCCCAGGAAAATTCCCCTTTTAGAGTTTTTGTCTAGTTTTTTGCGAAACTGTTTTTCCACAAAACTATACGCTACACACCCAAAAGTTTTCACAGAATGAAGGTTGGGTGTTTATCCATACATAGAATCGTAGGGTGTTTTGCCTATAACAGAATGAAAGCACATATTTGTGAGATTAGTAGCCATATTAAGAGCATAAGGCCTATAAGTTTTCGATAAATTGGCATCAAAAATTATGCAGCGAGCCATTGGAGTAATTGTTCCCCACACCCTTTCTATCTTTCCGTTCTCTTGAGGGGTATAAGGAGACGATGTTTCCAGTCTTTTTTTTGTTTCCTACAAACTCGCTTAAAATCCTGACCAATTTACTCTCCTGCACCATCTGAAACTAAAGTCCGAGGGACTGCTATGTCTGCTATGAACCTTTCCAACTTTTCTGTTGCCTCATCTCTCGTCTTCGTGAAGTAATTTTTTTGATATCTGGAAAAACTGTCCACAAAACCTATAGCATATCTATGTCCATCCTCTGCTATCGGGTCGATAGAACCTAAAATATCTGTGTGAACAATATCTAGTGTCCTGATTGCCCTGGTGTAATAATCTTTCGGGACTGGCTTCTTTTTTGCTTTATTGAACTCACAAGTTTCATAATTCTCAATTTTAAAATCCTTTATCTTCATGCCTTCAACATGTTGCTCCAAATGACTTAAATCTTTGTAGTTTTTATGATCCATCCTGCAATGCCACTGTTTCAATGTGCTAACTACATAACACTCGTCTTTTCCTACAAAAGTGTCCCATAAAAAAAGACCGCTTTTCTCTCTTAATGGGTAAACTGAACCATTTCCCAGACGAACAAACGAGCTCGCACCATAAACAACTTCTGCTCCTGCGTTCTTCATTTTTGATCTACTCAGCAAGTTTCTTGAATTTTCAGGAACGTACAAAGTGTCCTTCAGCTCAATCATCTTAAACTCGCCTTTCTCATCTTTCACTCTGAATCTAACTTCACCTTTCCCTAAAATTTTTGATTAAGAGAAATTTGCATTGCTAACCGATCCTTTGAAGTTCTCACCTAAACTAACAAACCTAAACTCCAGAGTCTACAACTAAGCCCTCGCCCGAAGACACTCCACTCAGAAAACTAAAATGAGCCTGTTTCAGCTGCTCGGTTCTGCTGATCTCGTTTAGTCTTACTTATTAACTTTTTCTTTGCTTGGCAATATTTTGCAATATGTCCAAACTCCTTG